TTACTTAGAGAACCTAGATGCTTTCAAGTCAGCAAAGCTGGATGGGATGCACCTTGGGTACTGAAGGAATGGGCTGAACCAATTTCAGAGCCATTAGCTATCCTCTTGGAGAACTCATGGAGGTTGGTGAAGTCCCAGATGACTAGAAAAGTCTAAATGTAGTGCCCATCTTTAAGATAGGGAAGAAGGAGGTTCTGAGGATTTACAGACCAGTCAGTCTTATTTTGATACCTGGAAAGATTATGGAGCAAGTTCTTAAGGAATCTATTCTGAAATACATAGAGGAGAACAAGGTGATCAAGAGCAGCCAGTATACATATGAATAAAAGGGCAAATCGTACCTATTCATCCCAATTTCCTTCTATGAAAAGGTGACATTTTCTGTGGATTGAGAGGGAGCTTTAGACACTGTCTTCCATAACATTCTCATTAACAAGCTAAGAAAATTCAGACTAGATGAAAGACTGTAACATGGATATATAACTGGTAGGATCATTATGCTCAGCAAGTAGTTATCAATGGCTCAGTATCTAGCTGGGATAAGGTATTAATTGTGGTTCCCCAAATATCTGTCTTGAGTCCAAGTGACGGGATTAAGTGTACGCTTAGCAAATTTCCAGACAACACCAAGTTGGGTGGAGTTCCAGACACTCTGGAGGGTAGGGCTAGGATTCAGAATGACTTGGGTAGACTGGAAAAATAGTCCACAATCAACCAGATGAAATTCAACAAGGAAAAATTGAATTTCTGCACACAATTATTCCATCCCACGTGCAAAGCCCTGAACAGGAGACCGTCACCATACTCTGGGGATACGTTCTCATATCCCCTGCGAATGGCGAAATCCACAAATAAGGCATTGCGTTCATGAATGCCATCTGCGTTCGTGAACACAGTGCCCACAATGGCTGGGGGGGGTTGGGGCATGGCTGTGCTGGCGACGGCAAGCACAAAGCTCCCGAGGAGCTGCTTTAAGTGTATTTAAGATGCAGGTTCAGCATTTGCAAATATTTGAAACTGCAAATGCCGAACCCGCAAATAGCAAGAGTTTCCTGTACTTGGGATGGAAGAATTGTGTGCACAAATACAGACGGGAATGATTAGCTAGCCTGTAGTAGATCAGAATAGGACTTGGGGGTTACAGAAGACTATACACTGAATGAGCTAACAGTGTGCTCTTGTTGCAAAAAAACCCAAGAGCATACTGAGATTTATAAACAGGAACATCACTTCCAAGTCAAGAGAAGTAATTCTTCCACTCTGTTTGGTACTGGTGGGGCCTCACCTGGAGTACTAGTTTTGGGCCCCACACTTCAAGAAAGAGGTGGACAGTTTGAAAAAGTCCAACACAGAACAATAAAAATGATTAGGGGCCTGGAAAGCAAGACTTGTGAGGAAAGGCTGAAAATATATAGTGTGGAGAAGACAAGGCTGAACAGGGATTTGATAAGTCTTCAAGTACCTGAAGGCAGCTACAGAGAGGATAGAAATGGGCATTTCTCTTTTTTCTGTAGGGGACAGGACTAGGAGCAGTGACCTGGCCTCGAGCTCAAGGAATTTTCTGACTATGAGGGTGGTCAAGCATTGGAACCGCCTACCTAGAAAAACTGTGGACTCTCCATTTCTGGCAATTTTGAAGAGCAGGTTAGACACACTCTTGGCTGAGGTGGTTGAGCCAGGGATGCTTCTGCCTTGAGCAGAGCAGGGGTCTGGATTAGAAAACCTCTTGGGCTAGGGATAGACATTCAAAAAGCCTGAGCTGGAATTGATTCAATCTTTGCAGGTTATTCTAACCTGCCTAGGTTGAACCAGTTTGCAACTATTCAGACATTCCCTCAGGACTGAGGAAATGCTGGCACATGCCTGCAGTGGCTCAGGCTAGAAACTGGGGGATGCTAAAGCAGTTCTTCCTTCCCTTCTACAGTGTTGAGCTGAGGGGGGGGAGAGAGGGGGTGGCTAGGCCCCAGCAGAATACTTTGATTAGAGAGGGGTTTAAACCCCCACCATGCCTGCACCGTCCCAGGCATTTCTCTGCTTGCTGCTCAAGGGGCAGGAGTATTGCCAGACCCCCTAGCACTCTGAGGCAAAGGTGGGATGTGCAGTGCATGCATCTGTTGATGATACTGAGCCTTTCAATCTCCTGCTCCCTGCTTCTTCATACTGTCTGCAAACCTGACAGGCGAGGGAGCCAGCAGGAGCCTGATAACACAGCATTTATCAGCACATCAACAAAACAAAAAAGCCTCTCATTAGTTCAAGCTCTTCTTAAACAGCTTTTTCCAAGGAAGAAATGGAGGGACCTTACCAGCTGACCTGCTGATTATGTCCAAAAAGCCCTAACCAGACACTGTTCTGTCTGCCTGTCACAGTGAATTTAGACACACACACACACATGCACACACCTCTCAGTATTAGCTAGTATACCACGTGCCTAGAGTCCATGGGGCTGAGGTCCGTACTGCGGGAGATGGAAGGGTGGGAGGGGAGAATCCCCGCTTGAGCGGCAAGTGCGGGACTATGCAGGGGAAAGCAAGGCAGACCCTGCTATGCCTGCACTCTCCCCCGGAGCTCTGGATAGGGAGCAGAGGGATGGGGCCAGCCCTGTTCTCTGGAGCAGAGAACACATCCCATGGCTGCAAAGCGTCTGGGATTCCTGTGGGGCTCTGTTTTAATTTACACCAGGAAGAGGTCTGGGACAGACATTCCATAAACCAGTTTGACCCAAATCAGTTAAGTCTGATACTACAGTCAACCAGGTTTATCTTAAACCAGTTTCAGCCATTTTGAAACTGGTTTATGTGCACTGAACTTATATTGTTACAGGTTTAAACCAGTTTCTGATCACTTAAACTAGTTTATGTGTAATGCCTGTCCCTAGCCTTGAGGTCTCTTCTAGTTTTACTATCCTATGACCTTGGCAGCAGCATTTTGCCCCAAGTTATTAATGAACTTCAGTTCTGACCTAGGGGACTCTCATGGTAGCTTATTTTCTCTTTGGTTGCTTAGCCTTGTTGCTTAGATGGGCAACAAGGATGTTTATAATGCACGATAGACTTTATGTGGGTATATGGCTAAGGGGAAATGTATTCAATTCTTTTCTCTATTGACTTTTGTCAAGCCTTCGATCTCACAGCAATGGGACTAACCTCTGTAATGTGCATCATTTTTTCTCACAGCTGAGGGTGCAAGGAAAGAGAAGCAATATGTGTGTGTGCTGTAGGCAGAGGCAACCCAAGCAGGGCGCGGGGCCCAGGGCAAATTGGCCCATGCGAGACCCCAACCCTGCTCCAATCCCAGACCCAAAGAAGCTGCTGCCACCATCAGCAGCAGCGGCGATGGCAGGGGGGGAGGTCGGGGGAGGGGTGTAGCAAGTAGCTGGACGCGGAGCCGCCACTCTGCCTGGCTCCGCACCACTGCTGCTCCGTTCAGCTCTGCCCGGCCCCCGCAAAGCGCGGGGTCCAGGGCAGTTGTGCTGATTCGTGCCCCCCTTCCCTGGCTGTAGGGGTTTTACTCATTTACTTTTGAAAAGGATAAATGCATACACATCTTTGAGAGTTCAGGCTAAAAAAGACAGGGTTGAAGAACTGCCCTCTTTCAATTGGAATAGAAATGGAAAGGCTTACAAGGCCTAGTCCCTATCATTGTTTGTTCAGTTGTCTCAGACCGGGCCCCAGGAAATTTGTATTTCCTGGACACACCCAGGTAGTAAAAAGTTCAATTGTACCTGAGGAGCACAGTTAACCAGAAGTGGTCTTCATCCTGGTTTTTTAGGTGGCCTTTTAGATAGCTGTGTCCTGGCTATAAAGAATTGCCATCGATAACTCATGTCATGTTTAAAAAAATGTTTTGTGAAATCCAACCCATGTCTTCTCCCTCTCCTCCAAAATGCAACATCAAGATTTCATTAAGCTAAAAAAAACGGTTGACAAATTATGTAGAAGAAAAATCATTTCTAAGCAACACCAAAGAATACTTGATAAAATGAAATTATAATCATCGGAGAAATGCATAAGTAATTTAATGCATCATTTTTTATAAGAGATTTTATTTCCTGACCATTCCTTTTTGCGTATTTGAATATATATTAAAACACAAAGATATATACCCACCCACTCTCAAACTCCATACCACACACATGCACACAAATATTTAACTAATGCCCCCATCCAACACATTGTAATTAATTAAAGCATTTCCACTGACTTTACTGAGCTTTGAATCAGGCCCTAAGAGTTGTACAATTAGGCATGTTCATCATATATACACATAGAAATAGGCCCACTTCTGTTCTGATCTACTTCTGTGTAAATCCAGAGTGATTCCACTAAACTGAAGTCATGGGAGCTATTTCTGGACAGGTTCAGTCAGTTCTTGTCCATTCCTCTGTAAATAACGAGTGACTATTAAATAAAAAATTAAATAGGTGAGAAGAGAATTGGGCCTTTTAGATTTGCATTGAGGGTAATTGACAGTGAAATGTGTACTGGGATATAACCTGCAGCATATAATTTATCAGAATTATATATGTGATTCTGATGTAAGTATAAAGTGTGCCCTCAGGAGTTACAAATATAGCTTATTATTCATTATACTATATTATATTTGGCTGATTGTGATAATACATTTGAACAGGGTACACCTTTTAAATAGAAAGAAATGGCTCTCTAAAGAAGTAGGAATTTCCTACTTTGATCAAGTTCCCATCAATATTACTGAGCTTGACCAGGTGCTGAACATTTCTACCTGTTTATATTGTCATGTAGGTTTTGTCTCTTGCAACTCTCACTTCATGCCAGAGAGGTTAATAACTCTTAGTTGATTTTTTTTGTTTTAATGTCCAAATAGTGTAGTTTCCAGTGCAGTGAGCTTAGCAGAGGAACATGCAGTGTTATTTAGAGCATAGTCTTAATTAAAGGCTAATCAGATATATTTTGTTTTTCTTGTTTCTTTTTCATAGTCTATAAAAAGTGATCATGACCAAATTGTCCATCTGCTTGCAGGGTTTTTCAACTGCACCAAATTCCCCTTCGGTGATGTCACGTTCCATTACACTGGGTCCATCACAATCTCTTGGCAACATCTCGGGAATGACGGCAAACCCAGAAATCAAGAAACGCAGAGCTCCTCCTCCTCCCACGGTGACACCGCAGTTGCAGGACACAGAGAGGAATGGCCAAGAAAAGACAGCAGCCCAGGTGAGAGAGCCATAAGGAAGAGCAGTGTTGCTGCACAGACTGACTAGAATGGACCCATAATCTGTCTAAAAACAAATTCCCAATGGTTGGGTGATTTGGTCAGCCATTATCTCCAGCAGCCAGTTAAATGCCTTACATCAGTAGCTCTGTTATTCAGTAGTTCTCACTCCTAGAGATTTGTATATAGTGTCTCTGGTTGCTGGAATTGCTAGAGGCCTAAAGCGACTCCTAATTGCAGGAATCTTTTAAAATTGCTGTATTTCATATGGAAACCATAGCACAGTTATTCAGAATAGATGACAATGAAAAGAAGTTCAAAGAACTTAGGTTATAAAAAAACAAGAAATATGCTTCAGAAATTCATTGAACAAACCTGGGTAGCGTTGCTTGTTTGTTTCTTGTTGTTTATATAGTGTTACTGGTAAGCATGGCATTTTATAGGTCTGAAAAAAGACATCGTACAGGTGTCAGATTTTTGTCCCAAAGGGCTTCCTGTCTGAAGGTTAGATTAGTGTTTATCCTATATGCATACGCACAGGCTTGGAAGAGAGCTTGAGACTTTAATACTTCTGGTCTGAGAAGGAGAGCAACCCAAAGGGACCGTTACATACCATGCATTTAGATGGGAGAAAGCCAGAGCCTTGACTGCACCTGGAACTCATGAAGTAGCATTGGTGTCCCAGAGGACATATACCACGGGCAACCTGGGGGGAAGTGGGTAGCGGAGTCCCCCAGGGCTCAGTCCTTGGGCCTGCACTGTTCAGTTTCTTTATCAGCAATTTGGACAACGGGGTGAAAAGCAACCTGTTCAAATTTGCTGATGATACCAACATTTGGGGTGAGGTGGGCACGCTAGTAGGGAGGGAAAGACTGCAGATAGACCTGGATAGGTTACAGGGGTGGGCTAACAAAAACAGGATGCGTTTCAATACTGACAAGTGCAGGGTGCTGCACTTGGGCACTAGTAACCAGCAGCACACTTATAAGATGGGAAACTCCCTTCTTGAGAGCACAGAGGCAGAAAGGGATCTTGGAGTCATCATTGACTCCAAGATGAACATGGGCCACAATGCAAGGTCACGGTCGGCAGGGCTAACCGGACCTTATCGTGCATCCACAGATGCATCACAAGCAGGGCCAAGGAGATGATCCTCCCCCTCTACCTGACAGTGGTCAGGCCACAGCCGGAGTACTGTGTCCAGTTCTGGGCACCCCACTTCAAGAGGGATGTGGACAACACTGAGAGGGTCCAGAGGAGGGCCACCCGCATAATCCGGGGACAGCAGGGTAGACCCTACAATGAGAGGCTACGGGACCTGAACCTGTTCAGCCTTCACAAGAGAAGGCTGAGGGAGGGACCTGGTGACCAT